TGAATCAATAATGAAGAACATCAAGACTGACTCCACCCTCCTCCCCTGACTGACTCAGAACAAAGAATTAGGGAAATGGTGTAAGGAAAAATTGCTTCGAGAATATTAAGCAAGAATATCAGAACCTCGGTGGATTAATCTGAAAATATGCCCAGGCAGCCCAGCCTCTTGTAATAATCCTTACTAAGAAATATTCACAACATTAAGTGCTTGCTTTCTGTATTAACGTGAACTCATGGTTAGCAAGGGACAGAAACTGAGTCAAACTCACTTGAGCTGGAAATAGGAGTTTAAATCTCCTGTATCCAAACCTGAGGTGCTAATGGGAGTTTGAAGATGGGCATGGACAATAGCAGCCCAGAGTCACATCATCTCCACTGCACAACCAACAAGGAGGAAACCTTCCCAGCAGCTCCACTTAGAAAATGCTGGGGAAAGATTCAAATAGTCCTCTTTTGAATCAATGTGACCATCTCTGATAACTGTTACAATAAGAAAGAGTAAGGAGTGCTGGGCAGAAAATAAAAAATGGGCAATATAATTCTACATAATGAATAAGTGTTTGTAAAATATACATTTATTTTAATATCCATTTTTAAATTTTAAAACAAGTGTTTAAATAGGTTTCCACAGAAAGAATTCCAATTGATAAAATTGTAACCATTGGAAATCGTCAACTCATTATTCATATTTTTCCCTTTATCTCATTTATTGCAATCTTAATTATATACTAATTGTATGATCATTAGATTATTGCTTGACTGCTCCACAAGAGCAGAGACGACAAGTATTTTTATTCACAATGATTTTCTCAGCACCTCGAACATTTCTAGCATATAGTTCACGTCCAGCACATCCTGTGAATGAATGAAGCATCAACTGAACCTTGATGCTAGATTCAATATAACCCAGCACCAAATGATTCCAAAGTTAAAGAAACACAAGTTAAGAAAGACAGAAAGAAAGCTGAAATGAGATGAATGCCTACAATCAGAAGATCTATCCTCACCATTCACGGCTTGATGGGGAATCTATAGAATAGAAACACGGTAATACAAGGAATAAGTGTCCGATAAGCTAAACATCAAAAACTTAAGATGGCCATAAAAGAAAAAGGTTCAAAATTCTAGCTAATTCTGAAAATTTTAGTTTACAGAAAAAGTTGACATTTATAAAATGTGAAAGATAGATCTAAGCTTAAGAAACTTACCACCTATCACTATGTTTCTCTTTGACCCAATTTTGAAATGAAAATATCATAAAGCCAGACATCCAAATAGATCACTTCACAGGCTTTAATGGAAAGTATTTAATGGAAAAACATCCTAATGAAAACACACAGCAATAAGTCCTCACTTAGCATCATCGGCTGGTTTTTGGAACTATGGTGATACTACGTATGAAGAAACCAATTTTACTATAGGCTCATTGATATAAACAATAGTTAAGTTCCTACAGCATCTCATCAATGTTGTAATAAAATGACATTGAAGAAACGACATTATTCAAGACCTGCTGTACTTGAGTACGTCACCGTGTTGTGCTAACAATGGCCTTTCAAAGACCTCAACTGCACATGTTCTAACCTTATGTACACTTTAATATAATACAACTGTTTGAGTTTCTGTTAATTAAACCCGAAGCTTCCCTTGACAGGACTCCCTGTGCTTGAGCCCAGGCCAGGTCACCGAGACGGTGGGAAGGAGTCAGCAGCATTTATCTGCGGAGGTTCTTGGGGCACTTCCTCCCCAAGCACAGGTTCTTAATATATGAAGAGAAACAGGTCTGGGGGAGAAGGTGCCATGGACAGGAAGCTGAGGAAGCGGGGCCCTGAACTGTGTATGCTATGGTGGAGAAATGCAATTTAACCTGGATGAGAGGCTGGGCCTAAGGAATGAAAAAGGTCGGAGGAAAAAGAAAAAGGCAGCATAAATTTATTTTTTTAATTAAACTTTTTTCTAGGAAAAGCAGAGAACAGGGAATTGAGGCTACTGGGAACCCTGTAGGAAGTGGAGACTTCTGCAAGGTCAGGGGGAGGGGCCCTGTGATACTATGATTTATAATAAAAAATGTATATTTGGTTTTCATCCCAGTCCCTGACACAGGGCTCCTAAAACTCTTGTAAATTCCTAAGTGATAAGAGCCCTAAGAGCATCTTTGGTTCTAATGAGGCAGCTCTGGGTGGGCTCCTGGATAGGGGCTGCTGGTTATCATAAAGACCAAGTCATGATTAGAAGCTTAGAATTTTCAGCCCCACTCTCCATGCTCCAGATTGGGGAGAAGGGCTGGAAATGGAGTTTATAATTGATCATGTCTATATGAGGAAGCCTTTATAGATCCCCAAAGTAGGTGGGTGCAGAGAGCTTCCAGGTGCATGAACACGTGGAGATTCGGGGAGAGGGCATTAAATTCTTGTGTCCTTTCCCCATACCTTTCCCTATGCATTTCTTCCATCTGGCTGTTCCTGAATTATATCTTTTTATAACGAACCTATAATCTAATAAGTGAAATGTTTCTCTGAGTTTAGTGAGCTGCTCTAGCAAATTAAATGAACCCAAAGAGGTGGTAATTGTGACCTCCAATTAATAGTCAGTGGGCCAGAAGCCCAGGTAACAACCAGACTTGTGATTGGCATCTGGAATGGAGGCAGGGAGGCACTCTTGTAGAATTGAGCCCTTAACCAGTGGGATCTGATGCTATCTTCAGGTAGATAATGTAAGAATTGAGTTAAATTGTAGGATATCTAGCAGGTGTTGGAGAATTGGTTGGTGGTGTGGAGAACCCTACCCCCATTTTGGAATTGGTTATTGAATCATCTTAGACCTCCTACGAAAACGGAGAAGAGAGACTCACACGGAGGTGACTCCTGTGACTCTCTGACAGGGAGCTTCATGCCTCTGCTTAAAGGCCTTGGATGATAGTCCACATGGGCACATGTGAATTCAAGGCCAGCAGTTTGCTGATGCTTTGTGAATTCACCGTACCTTGAACCCCAGTTGAGCAGGCTGGCCAGAATACTTTCCTATGCACACCCACTTTCCTTCCCTCTACATGACTTGCCCTGCCCTGGGTGAGGGTATCTTCACCACAAGGATTACCTCACCGTTAATTATTTAATTCCATAAACAAAGAAAAATTACGCAGTAAGGAGAAATGTGAGGATTTTAGCCTATAAAACAGTTCTTGATATTAGAAAGAGAAAATAGAAAGCGCCAGCTCTTCTATGTCAGCAATAAAATTGTATTTGGAGATTCTTGTGGCAAAGCAGAAAGAACACCAGACCAGGAGTCAAAGCAATTACTTTCTAGCAATGGGTCTGGCAGACTCCACTGGACAGCTTGGGTGGGTCGTTCACTCTCTTGTCCTGTTTCCCCTTCTGTGAAAGGATGAGAGGATATCTAAATTCTCTTCCAGATTTAATTTTCTAACTTTCATATGTTTTTCAATTAAAAATGATAATGGCATCATTATTAGGATTTTTTTTTTACATTTTATGGGAAGATATAGAAAGTATTTTCCAATATTTATGAGGAAATAAAAGAGCTGCCAGAAAATACCTGTCACATTTAAGCATCAGCTCATGGGTGTTTTCTTTTGAAAGACACCAGCATTTTGTCACTCTTTCAATCACTCATGCTCCATTCGCTTTCCCCTGTGACTTTTTTTTCTTCCAGAAGCAGTTTTAAAGCTGCTTCTTTCTTACTAGAACCTTTTCTAAAGGGGCAAAAAAAAAACCCTACAAAAATCCAATCAGTATTTACTGAATGACGGCTTTGGGTAAAGCATTGACAAACTAAATGTTAAAATTAAATTTCGAGCAGGTTTCTACCCCTTTGCATGTAATCAGTGCACGATCTCATGTAGCCACCACAGTGCATCTTCTTTTCTTTTTCATTCCCCAGTCTCCACTACCTCAGGCTCTAGGACCCTCCCACCAAATCTATCCCCACTGATTCTGCATGCACAGCACTACACACTTTTCTCCCTAAAATACTGCCTTCACCCTCCAATGTCTATACTGACTGCAGGATAAAGTCTAAGGCCTTAGCCCAACCCTGTCTGAGCAGCCCAGCTCCCATTACTTCCTTACACTTGTAGTCCACGGTCCAGCCTCTGGGAACATTTCCTATCCTAAGCTCATCCCAGACCCTTCCCACTTTGCTCATTCTCCTCACTGACTTGGAACATATTCCCTCCTTCTCTCTGGAAATCTGAAAGCTACTGGTCTTTCAAAATCCAGCCAGGATCCCCCTTCTTCTATTGAGCTTTCCTGAACTCTGCATCTTGCAGGGCCCTATCCCTACTTTGTACAGCCCACTGCTTGGCACAGCAAAAGGAATGACCATGTTAGCCTGTGAGGTATTCCCTCAGGAGGCCGAGACTTCCTCAACAGGGATGGGTCCACTCTTAGTCAGCACGAGCTTCAATTTCCCCTAAAACACGGTCAGGTGAGGCCGAAGTCACAATACAAAGGTAGCCCGCTCACTAGTCTCATTGGAACAGCACTGGGAGGCATAGGGTGAGCAGCTTCCAGCGAGATGGGAAACCAGAGGAAGAACAGAGACACCTTCCCTCACCAGGTGTGCTCTTTTGGGTGTCATCCACTGTGCCTTGCTATGGCCTCCACCCTCCAAAAACAACTTTTTAGAGTAATTAGAAGATGATGGGTAAAAGTTGAATCTCCTAGGGCATGGCTACTTGGGTTTTTTTCCCAGGGCCCAGCACAATTTAACTTGAATCTTTAACTCAGTGGGTCAAAGTGACCCACAAAGCGGGTCAAGTTAATGCAAACGATTCTCTAAGTTGGTTATTATCTCCATTTCACAAGTAAGAAAATCATTAATGTCAAAAGGTTAGCTTCCTTTCCCCAAATCACACAGTCAGTGAGTGGCAAAGATGAGCCCAATAGCTGTTTCCATTTTCATTTTGTTTTATTTTAATTCGACGGAAGAGCCTTAGCTGAACCTTCTTTACTATAAAACTAGAGGAAAGAAACTTACGTATTTGCAGGAAGTAGTCTTCAACACTTTCCTGTCTTCTCATATGATATCTCTAGGATCTCAGTTCCTCTCATTATCTGAAACAAGAAAATGGCATAAGTTTAATTATTCATTTTCCATCACCCTTAATGAGAGGATTAACTGCCATGTGAAACAAAAGGAAATAGTCTGACCTTCAGACTCTCAGGAAGTGATAATTAACTAAAACCTCAAGTCAGTTTAAATGGACAAATGGAAAGTGTTCTACTGATCTTGATGCAAATGTGCTATGAGGATCACTAATTGAAGTCACAAAATGGAGCAAAGAACAATGAGAAAATAAACGTGCTAAAAATAAACATGTTTTTTAAATTACGTTTACAGGTGCTCTTTGGAAGTTTCCAAAGCTCCTTTGCTTACCTGAGGTCCCAGGGTTTTGAGTGTGGGTGGAGAAAGGGAGGAGGGCTGTGGCTTGTTGAGAGGACAGAGGAGGGGAGGCTGCGTGGACGGGGCAGGAGTCAATTCTGTTTCTGATACGTGGAGCATCAAAAAAGGCTAATTTGGAGACCTGTTAGTCATAGCTTCAGGACCCGCTGGTTGGTTTTTCATTAACTGGTTGATTGGTTTGACTGAAAGTTACTATGGGAGTGATTCGTGGAACCATTCTGCTGCATGGCATGTAAACACAGCCTTCTAATCTAGATCTTGGCTATTAAAATGATCATAAATAGCTGTGAATTACTACTGTTGTGCAATTCGTGACTTCATTATGGCTTCTGGCAGAGCAGATGGGAGCCACGTTCCAGGCATTGCTGCAGCCCCCATCTTTTACTTAGCATATAATGAGTACAGTATGGTGGATGCTACACAGGTGACAAAATGGCACTTCCTTGCCCTGCTCTATTCCAAAGAAACACATTTTTCAAAAAGGCATCAAGCCTTGAAAGCCTCACACACACTGCATGATATATAAATATATAACTGCCCCAAATATGGCAAAATGAATCACTATTAATATCTCAAAGAGTCATGGGGATTCAGGCCATCCAATTCCTCTGCCAAAAGTTCAGAATGTTTGCTCAGTGCTTTGATTTTTTTTTTTTTTTTTTGTACTCTGTTCTTGATTTGCTTCAGTACAGTTTCTATTTAGATACTCCACCAAGTATGTGTCAAATTTTATCTGTGACCTTACTAGGACATACCAGAGCATACAGGACAGGAATGGAAGGCCTTTAAAGCTACTGGGATTTGAAAAATTATGCTTGCTTAACAAACATTTTCCATTTCTCTCAATCATAGCAACCGTCACCTTTGCCATATATGCCAAAATCGCTAAAAAGAAAGTGAAGAAACTCTCTAAGTTATTTACATTGATGATAATATTGTACCATTAACTATTTGGAATTCAAACTCAAGGCTCTTTAGCTTGAGCCATATGAAATTGCCAGTAGTCAATCATTTCCGACCATTAATGGGAATTTTATTGTTCAACCTACCACTACAATGCATTGGCCTTAAAAGAAAACCTAGAATCCCCTCCTGACACCACAAAGACTATTTGCAGACTGGCAGTGTGTTGATTAGATACTTGTACAATGAAGTCCTGGGGGAGGAGGCGGGGGGAGGAATGGTGTAGATAAAATAGTCTATTATCTTTGCACCATTTATTATTATTATTACAAGTCACGATGTGAAACTGCACAAAAAAATGGTAAGACATGTCAAAATGCTTTAATCTACTTATATTCCCTGATACATTCTACTTGAAAATTTCCACACATAATCATGCTCGCCAGACTTTTTCAAGCATTGAAATCGTTTCTAATGTTTAAAAGCTAATGACATTAAAATATGATTTTGGTAGACCATGTTTTCTAATGAGCAGGTGGCCTGTGAGTCTATAATATAAATATATTAACGGAGATAATTGCTAAGAGCAATTTAGTTTCTTGGGAATTTTCTGGAAGTCAACAGCATAGTGGTTTTAGATAAAAGCTATTGTCTCTGAGTTCTCTTCTTAGAAATAAAGCACAATAAACCAAAATCTTTTTTTTAATTCACAGTTTTCTCCATTGATATAATTAGAATGAGAAATATTAAGGCAGCTAATAATAATTTTGGTATTTAATATATAATAGATACTAAACAGTGGATTATTAAATGCATAATAATTAAGAAGATTTTTTGTCACAAGTATAGGTCAAAAGATAAATGATAAAAAAAAGGGTCAATGAGTCTTTGAATGGGATTTCAGTCATGGGAAGAATCTCATTTTACTGAAGGAAAAACAGGGGCACGAGAAAGCCAAATAAATGGCAGAACTATTCAACTCATTGGTAATACCACAGTGACTAGCATTCAGCTATCTTGACTCCCCAGGTCAATGTTTTTTGCCCTCTATAATCATAGTTTAGTTCCAAATAATATTTTGTTCTTTTTTACCTATATTTCTTTTCCTCAGAACCTTCTGGAACATATAATAAAAGATGTGCTCAACAAATGAATATGTTAAAATGAACTCGTTATCATAAGTGATTATATTTAAGATGGGATAACTAGGTTTTTCAAATTTATGGAAACAAGATGATTAAATAAAAATCAGTCAACTCTTAGGGATTTATCACCATAAGCTAAAGTGTAATTGGCCTTTCTCAAGGACAGAAAACATTTCCTTTCTATCCTACACTTTTTGAGCTCTCTGTTTATCTCCTGTATGGAAGGCATCGGATTTGAGATACTAGAGGATTGCACAAGACTCAAGTTTCTTATTCAATATTATGAACAGGAATCTGAACCAACACAAAGTTAACGATAGCTTTACCACATTACTTGTAAACCAAACAAAACAACCAAAGGGAAAAAGTACTGCTAATGAAAAAATTCCTAATATCTTTTTTAGTAAAAAGATAAACACATGCGAGAAAAAGAAAAGCAAGTATATTGATTGATGAATGGATGATCTAGCTGGTTTCTACATTAACAATGACTCATTCTGTAAAAATTGAAATGTTTAGAAAATAAATTATACTATTGTACCAGAAAAGAAAAGTACATAATATGCTAGAGAACCAAACAGGCTCAAAACATAATTTTCTTTTATTTCCATATGTGACTTTTGAGTTTTCTGAATATTATTCTTACCTTTAATGACATAGAAAAGGGAAATAAATGTTAATGGTAGTATCTCAGAAAAAGCTGTCTTTTATGCATGAAAATAATTTTTCTAAAACAGTATTTATGAATAGTTCTGTATTTGAGAGTTTCTATTGGTATTCCCTCATTGGCCTTAGATCAAATCTGTGAGAATGGCCTCTTTTCCAAGGAAATAGTTAAACACTGCACAGTGTAGCCCTTTGAAGTCCCTGGGTTTATATACTTATACCTGCACTGATGCAAATATGCTACATGCCCACTGTGTCTTCATCCGAAAGTCAGTTTTGTGACTGGCATGTAATGGATGCGAGCTTGTGGATTTGTGAGCCAATATTGGGAGAGCTCAGATGGAATGGGAGGTTGTGCTGGCTCAGAAAATTGCTTCAGAAAATTGCCCTTTCAATTGCCTGTACTGGCATCTTTAATCACAACTTTATGAATGTGAATGGGCCATTGCTAAGTCTTCTTTTACTGGGCTAAATAAAGGCTAATATTGCTTTCTTCTCTTCCTTGTGCTCTTCAAACAATTCTAGCAGTGCTCATATAAGTCCAAGGATACATGGAAGTCAGAAAGAGTGGTAAAGGGAAAAGGAAGGTTTCTGAAGAGATGATATCTGAATATCAGGCCCCAACATTCTCAAAATATTCATGAGATGGAGAAAGAATATGTGTTCAGATTACATCTATGACATGTATCCATTCAAACGAATACTACAGCTGTTAGATACTGCACTGAGGTGCTAAGTATGCAAAGATGGTGGAGACATAGGTCCTTTTTTCAAAGCACTTACGGTTTGACGGAAGAGTTGATATGGTGTGTGTGTGGAGTATGTGGGTATGGGAAAAGGTTTATGTGTAATGATGAACCCCTTTTGAGCAGAGTAAGTGGTCAGCTACTGAGATCATAGATGGTACTCTAGGAAGACTCCTAAAATATATTCTAACTGATGCTAAAAATGATATCATGAATTGTTATTTCTTAGTATCAAATATTGCCTTCTTCCTACACTGCTTTCCTAAGATGTTACTGGAAAAGTCAGCAAACCAAGTACTCACTAACATGAAAGTTTCAGATCACTTCTCTCGCATGAGAGAGCAGGGCTACACCAAAGCACTGGGTGCCTGGGGGAGGAGGGAAACCCATTAGTCAAGAGATTATTCGTTGCTAGGAATCAAATTTTCCTGAAATTAATTCAAATTAAAAAGAGGACTTAACTGTAAAGATAAAGCCAGCAATCCTACAGATGTCCAGAAGCAGAAAACAAAGTCCAGACGGACTTCAGAGCAACTGAAGCTGCAAACTAGTAAGTCAGAAACACAAGTCTATTGGTCTCTGTTCTGACTGATTATTTCTTTCTTTTTTTGACTCTTTATCTTTAGACTCTTCTTGCCTTTTTAAGCATGTCTAATTTCTTTTCTCTATAGTATTAGCTTCCTCTGATTATTTGAAATTTTGTTGTACTTGTCTTTGGCATGCACTGGTGCCAACCTTAGCCCTCACTGGATGTCAGCTCTTAGTGAAAGTCCACAACCACTGATCGTGGTTTCTGTAATTTGGCTCAAATTCTTGGGAGTCTTATTTTTGTCCACGAGTCTGTTCCTCATCTATTTAGAATAAGGTGAGGTGGACATGGGGTGGGATCAGGGCCACTTAGTCCTGTCCTTTAGAGCAGAGACTGTGAATGGCAGGAATTCTCAAAGATAGGAACTGGGGAGGTGGCACAAATGTCTTAAAGCATGTCAACTATGACCCCAAACCAAATACTTTCTCCTCACAATGTGGCAGTGGGCAAGCCTTACTCGGAGAGGGGCATGGCCCTGTCTGCTATGACATCATCAGAGCACAGTTTACTTCCTGTTAAATTTGAAGTAGAGGGAGAAAAAGGATGGAAAATCAAAAACCAAATTTTTAGCTATACTCCAAACACTATCCTACTTGGCTTTG